CATGGGGAGTTGGACGAAGGCAAAATACAGTAGCAAAGGTCAGCAATTTAAAGTGATTAGTAAAAGAAGCAATAGCAACACGAGGAAAACTTTAATGAGTGGTTAGGATTTGGAATGCACAGTTTGTATGTGTGGCAGAGGCCAATTCAGTCAAAGCCTTCAAAACAGAATTGAAAAATTTTCCAAGAGAAAAAAAAGTGCACACCTAGGGGAAAGATGAGGGAATGGAACCAGGTGAGTTCTTCTTGCAGGAAGCCAGCATTGGTACATTTGGGCCAAATATACTCTGCCTTTGCTGTAACTTTTCTATGATTCTATAATAAGGTTATGACAATGTGTTGCCCAGAATAGTACAGTTATGCAGTGCATAAAAGGTATGATTTGTTATTCCAGGAGGTAGAAGATTGGTACATGTACATGCCTCCCTGGAGTGAGTCTCTAACTTCAGCCTGCTTATGTGGGAAGGCACCACAGAGCAGTTTACTTTTCTTACATTTAAGAAAACACAACTTTCACAGAAACCAAGTCACCACCTCTTCTCACCAAGGATAATAGCGTTAGCAAATGACAGGAACAATTCAATAAAATTCAGTTATGAAAAACCCATTTTCTGATATTTATAGCAGGTATTAAATTACAAACTGTACCTTTAGCATGTCTGCAGCCTCCTTCCTGCGCTGGGCCATGTCCTCTGATTCTGTAAGAAGATCTTCCAGCAGCATTGATTTGTACAGTTGACCAACCAATTCACTTTGGAGATTATCCTTCACATAATTGACTAGGAAATTCATCACAGCCTTTGGCACACTAAATGATAGCAGAAGAACTTAGCTGATATACTTCCATTGATAATGCATCTTTGTTTTCAAGTTACATGGAAACATAGAACTAAACAGGCACACAGGTACTTCCACTTCTTTTAACTCCATTGAAAAATGTTCAATCGTCTAATAAAGTGAGAGATTATCATCGCTGTCAATATATACTTGGAAACCAGAAATAGCTAGTATTCGAAATGTTTATAACAAAGCAACTTCAAAGTCTTTAATAATGCTACGCTTTGATAAATATTCCGCAGGAATAAAGAAAAACTGACTTCAATCTATTTCCACGCATTGGTCACAGGGATAGCAATAGAAATGAATGAACATACACGTACACAGGAACGTAGGAACAGGATGCAGACACTTCGTAAGGATTCATTGGGGCATCAATTTTACAGCTTAACCAAAACTTAAGTTTTACAAAACTAAAAACAAAATTATTTATGAAATAAGTTATCCTGCACCAAAAACGAATTAGAAGGAATAAATAAGCCATAAATATACATACAAATATTTCATAAAACAATCTAACATTGTTAGTAAGCTGTGGGACAGTTGTAGATGGTCCTTGTTCAGTCACCTGCTTGCATTCAGATTAACAGATGGGCACTATGATTTGTCTTGGAACACAGGCACAGGAGTAGGTCATTCAGTTCACTGAACCGTCTCTGCTATTCTACTCTGGCTGATCATCTGACTCAATGCCACTTTCCCATGCTATTTCCAAATCCCTTGATGTCATTAGTCGCCAGAAATACAGCAATTTCTGTCTTGAACACGCTCAATGATTGAGCTTCCATAACCCTCTGGGTAGAGAATTCCCAAGATTCTTAGCATCTCTGGATTCTTATTCCAGATCATTATTATGAAAATCCTGCCAAAGGTGCATATATTTGGATGTTATGACCTCTCCAATATAAGAGTCTGGCTAGACCTGTCTAAGATTACACACAAAGAATGGTCACCTAATGAAGGGACAGGAGGGTACAGTATATCCAAATCAAGGAATAAAAATCTTCCACATGGAATATTTACGTGAAATTAGTTGTTGCTGCAAATATAAACAATTGTCAGAAATTTACAGAAACAGGCAAAAAAATCTAAAATCATTCCACTACATTAAGGAGCTGCTGCAAAAACTCTGTGCTGTACATCATGAAGTGTATGCAGGCACACTGACTTATTAGAAATGTACCTGTCCTGGATGTTTTTTCTCACAATCAGAAAGTAGGATTTGATGAGTCGTTCAATGACTTCACAATCTCGTTGCTCCCGTGCTGAAAGTTTACGTGAGACAGGAACACGCTGTAAAGATGACATCCTTTTTAATTACTACTTTAAACGACAATGACAGCTGTTAAATAAGAATGGAAATACTTGCCTTCTTTGTATGCTAGTCCCTGGGTTGTGAATGGGTTCCATTCTGGAGTCCGTTCACAAGTCGATTTGTACACAAGTTAGAACACAATGCAGGACAACATAAAATGGCTATAAGTACAGGAAATATTTGTATGCTGTGTCTTAAAATTACACTCCTGCATGGGATCACATTCGTAAGTACAAGCATTTGTAAATCAGGAACCCCTGTACATCAGTGTAGCACAGTAATACAAATTAACTTTCTAAACGTCCCATCCACTGGCACATGGAAACAAACTAGTGATAGCTGAAACATTGTGCTTCTGTTTCCCAATAAAATGTCAGGGTTAATTCAACCACTTTTAATTATTAAAGCTTATATCAATGTCAATTCCCACTGATAATTTTTAAGCCTCTTGTCAAGTATGTTTCTAAAGAAGTATACTTTCACCAAAACCAAACAATCATCCGAATTGCATTCTACCTTCTCCATAGACAAGAGCTGATGCAGAGAGATCTGGCTAAGATGAGATGATAAATGGAAGTTGACAAAAGTAAAACAACTTAACAGAGAAATATTGGTATTTTAAAAATGAATAGACATGGTCAACCTATCAATGGGAGGTCTTGTGGCTCTGCTGGTAGCACCCAAGCCAGGTCCCACTCCAGGACTTGGTGACAATAGAAGGTACGTTCACAATGCAGCCAAACAGCTTGATTATTAACATACAACTCCTTTCAGACGTGTACGGAAGGCAGCAAGAGCAGGGGACAACCCTAGTCAGCCATGCTTGACATGAAGTGGGGCCCCTCAAGCTACAGCCACTGGCTGCAGGCTCATGATCAGTTCCGAGGAACACAGAATGACAGGAAAAGGAAATACATCCTACCACATCAAGGAAGTTTACTGATGGTCCCCTATGTGGACTCCCAGGAGCAGGATGCTTAGGTTTTTCTTCAGATGGTCCTTCTTCTGGCTTTGCAGTGGATGTTTTCAACATTCCTCTCCAATTTCCAGTTGTTACACCATCTGGATTTCCATTCTGTATTTGAACTTCTTTCCCTGAAACCTGGACAGGGTAAGAGAGGTACCAACAGCTATAATAAAGCCTTCATTCAATGCATTCAGGCTCTTTAACTTCAGTCCTCTAAATACATATTAAGTATTTCTGAAAGCTTACTTGAGTGTTCTACACTAAGCAAAAGTTGGATAATTGCACATGCACAAGCATTCAAGCGAGAACTGCAATACCTGAATCTATCACCAGACAGCAGAAGCTCTGAAAAATGAAGGGTCTAGGCCCGAAACGTCAGCTTTCCTGCTCCTCGAATGCTGTTTGGCTTGCTGTGTTCATCCAGCTCTACACCTTGTTATCTAACATGCTTTGCTGTCAGGTTTCAGTGTCGTTTGCCATATATCGTACACCCAGGACTGCTTCTCATCGAGCCTGTGGTTAGCTTTCAATTGGTGTGCACTGTATTTTGTACTAAATTCCATTTAAGTTTTCTTTTGTTAATGTATTTCACTATTATCACTATTATTATTGCAAAAATGTAATGCTGTATATTTCCCCATTATTTCTATAGATGGTGATGAAATGCATTATAAAAAGGGAGTTCATTGAAAATCAGTGTGACATGTAACAACAACACAATCTCCTTCTTCTAATCTTCGTATTGAGGCTTTTGTTTAATAATACTGCCCTTAAGGGAAACCATAATTTTTTTTGTTCATTCACAGGAAGTGACTGTTGCTGGCTAGTTGACCAGAGGGCAATTAAGAGCCAACCATATTGCAGTGGTTATGAAATCACATGTAGGCCAGACCAGGTGAGGAAGGCAGTTTCCTTCACTAAAGGGCATTAGTAAACCAGATGGTATTTTCCAACAATCGACAATTCCAGTTTATTTTTGTATTGAATTCAAATTCTACCATCTACCATGGCAGGATTTGAATCCAGGTTCTCAGAAGATTACTTGGGTCCGTGGATAAAAAGACTAGCAATATTACCATTTGGCATTCGCCTCCCCTGTTTCTATCTTATGGGGTGGCCTATTGGTATTATTGCTAGACTATAAATTCAGATACTGAGGTAATGTTCTAGGGACACAGGTTTGAATCCTGTCATGGCTGAAGGTGGAATCTGAATTCAAGAAAAATCTGGAATTAAGAGTTTAACAATGATCATAAAGCCATGGTTGATAGTCAAAATAAAAACCCATCTGGTTCACTAATGTCTTCACCTGGTCTGGCCTACATGTGACTGCAGACTCACAGCAATGTGGTTGACTCTTAACTTCTCTCTGGGCAATTTGGAGGACGGACAATAAATGTTGACCTGACCAATGACACCCACATCCTGTGAATGAATAAAACAAAATCATTGCTGACAGTTAATCTGACAAAATACTATAATAAATGATTTCATGATGTGAGATGTGAGTTAAGAAGTGCGGGTATTAAGAACAGCAAATGTCTTGTGAATCTTTAAATCATTCAGATGATAGAACATTCTCAATCAGCATAAGCCAAAATTGTTTGTGCCTCTGCTGCCTTTCTTCAATCTGTAGGTTGAGGCTTTTCTTTTATCATCCAAAATTACATGAGATACAGATATCAAATGTTTTCCAATGAGATTTGTCTTCCATAGTCTACCAATACCAATGCTGATTATACCACATGTGAACAAAAATTTCTTGATATCAGTGAGATGTTCCTTTCACTAGATTGAATTTGTATTCCCTTCAACCTCCACGGCTTCATTTGTAGTGGTACTCAGGGTTAACTTTTTCCTATATTGTTTGATAATATATTTTTTTTTACAAGGATACCTACTAATAACATGCTTTCACAAAACTGTCAAGACAGTAATGTATATGTAGGTAGTATGAAAGTTGGCAAGTATTTTCAGGAAATGAAGGATGAATTATAGCCACTTTTGATTTATACCATAATGTGAAGCCACAACAAAATATGCAGCAGATAGATGACCAACCTTTCCCTCAAACTCAGCAGAAGCAATAGTAGAAGTCTCCTGGGGAGGGGCAGACACAGTACTGGGAGCTTTAGAAGACTGTAGCAAGTAAAGAGAAGCAAAAAGAAATGTTGAAAGGCAAGTTAAATAACTACCATACACTTCTTTAAAGCAAAGACATAGCTGTAAAGAAAATACTTACAAGGTTTGCAAAGTTATAAGCCTTCCCCCTTTTCAGATAAACATCAATCTGACTCACTGTGTAAATGCTGCCAAATGAACTGATCTAGTGCACAGTTGGAAGGAAATTCAATCCTTTCAGCCTAACAAGTATGCCTTAACTTTTTTTTATATATTCACTCAGAGGATGTGGTCATTGCATTTACTGATCATCAGTACTGCCCAGAGAGCATATTACGAGTCTTGGGAGTCATATGTAGGCCACAGTAAGTAGCAAATTTCAGAAGTTAAAGTTGCCATAGTCCTACCAGACCATAGTGCAGCTCTTTCATTAGAGACACAATTGGTAATGGTTTAACCTGAGGGTCACTTTGTCACAGGCAAGAGGAAAGGTTGAGAAGGAGAGTCCTTCATTGTAACCTCAGCCGGTGCAGAAATTGAACCCATGCTACTGGAATCACTTTGTATTACTAGAGTCATAGAGTAATATAACATAGAAACAGGTCCTTTGGCTCACCATGTCTAACAAACACCAAACTATACTAACCCATTTATCGCACCTGGAACATAGCTGACTATGCCCTGGCATTTTAAATGCTCATCCAGATGTTTTTTTATGTACTGTGAAATTACCTCCTTCACCACACTCTCAGGCAGCAAGTTCCAAATTTCTACCACCCTCCCACAAGACATTATGTACAAACACAATATGCCACTGACTTTACCTTCCTTCAAATCTCACCTTGTCTCGAGGCAGACCAGAGCCTAGCTCCCTTGCTAAGCGATTACGCCTTTGCTCCTGAAAAAAGGAAACTGTCGCATTCAGTAAGTATAGAAGTCAGATTTTAAAAAAGTTAAAATCCACCTTTCTTTTATTTATGGGTGTAGTCTTTCAATTTTTTGCTAGAGAAACCCACCAACTTCAGAATGCAGTGAACTGTATTCTTCCAGATCTCTTTCAGAGCTGTGATGGAATAACTTCCAGCCAGTTCACGATAGTGGCCTAGAAACAACTCCTGTCCAATTCCCCCTATTTACTGGGTAAACAACAGGGAGCCCCTTTCAGCGTCTCCCCAATCCTGAAATCGGGAACTCTGTTGCTCTTAAGTGATGCTCAATACACAATTGCAGGCAGAAATATAATGATCTGGTTATCAGCATGCAGGTTCACAGCAATATCAGAGAAGGTGAAACTGTCTATTCAGCATAGTAAATAAATTGCTGAAAAAAAGACATTTTAGTCAACGGTTTTCATCTTGCACTCATTAGAACTTTTCGCAAGGTTACCAATTAAGGGGAAACTAACATCTATACTCTTATACTGAGAGGAGTGCGCTGATTGGTTGGCAAATAGACTCTAATTGATAGGGGTGTTCATGGAGAATTCACCTATTAATGTTAATTGACAGCTAACAGCCAAGTTTTGGAGCCAAGCAGTTGACTAACCAGCAAATGGCTATCACCTACTTTTTTGAGATGAAACTGGCACAGTAAATGTTGATGTTCCTTCTGTTTGCAAAGAACAGGGGCCTGTGCATGAATACATGTAGCCTCCAGCAGACACGGGGTGCCACCCTACAAACTTGAATGACAATCCTAAACTGGTTCCTTCATTCCTATTTATGTTTTCATTCAAATAATTTGACCGTGACTCTTTTTTTTTTAATGATTGTTTGAGAAAAGAGGAGAAATTGATTTCAGTGTTTTTGGATTTGGGGGATGGGAAAGAGTGGTACCATATGTATGTTATTGCTGTAAATGGTCTTTGTTAGAACATTAACAATTACTAGTTAATAATTTTATCATCAAATCCTGCCTTGGCACAGCAAGTTAAAGTGTACTTGTGAAGCACTGGTTTATCACCTCTATTCAAGCTTACAAGGGGCACGTTTTGCTTTGTAACAAGTTACAAGGATCAGAGACTTCCAGAAAATGATACATTCCAGATGAATATAACAAGTAATATTAAGCTTGTAAAATGGAAATTGAGGAGTTTAGGATACCTTGAAAATAGTTCTTTTTAAGTTGATAAGATAATTAATGACGAGAGGATAAGGACAATGCAGAATTAAAGAAGCATTCTCCTTCTGAATGTTAGAATTCTTAGCATATCAGAAATCCACAACCCAGTGATAGAGGTTAAGCTTAACTATCGTGAAGTCTGTAAAGAAATGAGGCTGCATTATTTAGTTGCTGTTCAGTGTCATTGTGATATTAATTATATATACCCAAATGCATGTTATCTAAAATCACACGCACCCAAATTGCTTAAAAGCTATTCTTGAAAATATAACAACTTTATATTGTGATGGCAACTGTGGGGAAGAATCCATTAACAGTATGATAGTTGACTTTTCTGCTGCTGTGATGTGCCTGCACTTAGGAGCCACAATGGGCTGAATAGCCTCCTTCCGTGCTGTAGCAATGTTATAGTTCCTAATCTTTGTTTCCATGATTTATCAGCAAGAAGTGGCAGCAATATGTGGAAAATCTGTTTGAAGTCTGTTCCTCTAGGGAGCCTTGATGAATTATTGAAAACCTTACAAGGAGCACTGAATGAAATTTTCATGCTCATTAGCAAGTCTGGCTGCAAAGCTATAAGCAAGAAGAAAGAACTCAATGGAGGCAGAGGTGTGTTGGAAGACTAATTAAGGTGAGAATGCAGGAGGTTAAGAGTCAAAGGTGAGCATGCTGATGAACGTTCAGAAATAACAGGATACTGGGCTGCTAAAGGTGGGCTTTGTAGTACAATGGGAATTTCTACCAGAAAGCAACCAAAAACTTTGAAATTGATGCAGGTAAGTGTACAACAATTAATCATCTGATAACAAAGGTAGCTTTTCAATATCCAACAAGTCTACACATGTTCTTTTCAACAGCAATACAAAATTAGTCCCACTGCCCTGCATTTTGTTATACTTCAAATATTCAGCCAGTTTTCCCTTAATACACGTAACAGTTTAGTTTGATGAAGCATTTTATGCTCCAACAGCTGTAGGTGTGAAAAACGTTTTCCTTCTTCGATTAAGTTGATGACATCTTATTACAAAACCCCCAATCAGAAGAAAGTCTTTTGCTATTCATTCTGTCATAACTAATCAATATATTTTTTTAAAATCTAAACAAATTACTCCCACTTTTTCTTGTTCAATTCTGAATAATCCTCATACTTGAATTCTCTTTCATCACTGTTCCCAACCCTGACATAATTCTACCTTACAGTGTAAAGTGTTTTTCAGTTGCAAAGTGTCATCTTTAATGCAGGTTGCCTTATACATGAGTCAATTTTGTAATGTTCTGTAATTGTCGAAGTATATGAATAATTAACGGAATTTCAAAATACTTTTGTAATACAATATTTACCAATATTTGATCGTCAAAGTTGAGAAATCAAGTACTTCCATTTTGACACCAATAACCAATATCAAGTACTCCAAGATCAAAAACCAAAGGAAATGCAGCCCATCAGCTTTACTTGAAATGCAAAAATAATTAAGTCTCAGAAAGGCACCTCTTTACAAATCAGACAATTACATCCATGCCTTTTTTTTTTACTGAGAATATTAACTTAATGCCAATATTAAAAATATACAAACCATTCAGTATAATATAAAAGCTTACCCTAACAGGGGAAAATAACTACTGCCAGAAGATTATATTTCTGATTTGAAAAATTATAAAGTTACAGGAGATGATCAAGAGACCACTCCACAGAGTTTCTCAATTTCATGATATAAATTTTCTATGACAGTCTTCTTTTTCAAATTTGATCTCAGAGTGATTGATATCAATTAAAAAGCACTTTCAAACAAATGTAAAGATTTGCTGTGGTGAGTTATATTTCAAAGTATTCTTATTCACTGAGAGCATAAAGTTAACTTCCTTTCTATGCAAGATTAAATGTAATTAATATCCTAAATCTTATCATCATGGAAATGCTTGAACAATAACACATGACAAAAAATTATCACTTGGTTTTAATAGAATGTTTAAAAAAATTTAAGATATTTACAGATTAAAGGTAGCATAATATTTTTTGTCAGAATTAGAAAGAGTTAGAAGCATTTACAAAGTTGATGCATTAATCTTACCTCTATGTTACTGTTCAAAACACCACAGGCATCTGCAAAATCAGGGTGTTTTGTATTGATGTACGCAAGTTCAATGGCTACCAGATTGTGGACCTAGAAGGGATTAAAAAGATCATTGTGTAAAGCTGCAGATGAATAAACCATTCACAGGTTAAACAGACCTGTTTTTGTACCTTAATAGCCAAAAGATGATCAAGACATTCATGCCCTCCCAGAGGCTTCAGAATCTTTACTTAGACCAATAATAACAAAAATTATAGCAAATCCACGAGAACTTTACAATTTTATACAATTTCACAAATTACATGATATATAGTGGGGTAGTATGCTTGCATCAATATTGCATGCAAGCAAAACTTTTTAACCAACATCAACACAGAGATAAGCACAGGATACAAGCTAATATACGAAAAGAAAAATAAACTCTCTTTCAAAAGCTTTATTTTTATCCTTCACTGTTGCTACAACACGCTAATCTCTTTTGGGAGGCTAACGTAGATCACTAAAAACATGGGAGGTGGCGAGTAAGTGGATCAGGCTTTGCTTTGAGGACATGTGTTCAAATCTCACCTCAGCAGCTGGTGGATTTCAAAATCATTTAATGAATCTGGATTTAAAAGCTGGTATCAGTAATAATGCCGTGAAACTATGATTGGTTATTGTTAAAAAAAAAAACCCCAGCTGGTTCATTTAATGTCCTTCAGGGAAGGAAATCTGCTATCCTTACACGGTCTTGTCCAAATGTGACTCCACACCCTTCGCAACGAGGCTGACTCATTGGTAACCCTGCAATGGCTTGACAAGCCATTCAAGGGCAATTAGGTATGGGCAACAAATGTGAACCTTGACGAGAATTCTATGCTGATTTTCTCTAATTTTTCCCTCCTTTCCTGTAAGATAATATCTGACATTCACTTAGCATTTCCCTATGACGGAATGAGCATGATTAATAATCAATTTTCTGGAAGAACCTACCATGGTACTGACACAGCATGCTGAACCCCTCCCTCTAACCAGGCACTGGTTAAGTTCTGTAGATGACTCATACATTTGTGACGAATTTCCCTTTGATATCAAAGCTTCATTGTAAACTAAAAGATTTTCAACTAAATTACAAGCAATGTGATATTACAGCGAAAAGCAAGAAAAACAACCATGCTAACAATGAGACTAATGAAACATTGATCATAGTCACGAAGGAGTGAGAACTCAAGTTTCATTTACATCGTGTCCGCTTCCTGTAAAAATCTGCATGCAGACATTATCATGTTTGTTGTAGAAGCTTACCATATCATTAGTAACAGGTAATCTCCTACGCAACAACGATGTCACAACCTCGACTATGGCATCATGAAGTTTTGGAAATCGGAGCAATTCCTAAATAGGAAACACAAAACACAACATCACCATTTCAAAATTCAATTCAAGTAAAGAACAATTTATCACTATATGTAAAATAATGGTAAAAGTTCAGTTCGACCCAACAGACCAATTTCAGTCAAATCAAGTGAATTTATTTTTAGGTCTGGGACAGTACAAATACTCAAACTGCTCGTAGTTAACAAATTTTATATTCTTTAGTTCTGAGATAAATACAAACTGCCAGATTGCGAATATTTGAGCAGGTACATATATTGTCAATGATTTGCCATTTTTTCCCTCTATTAATATGTACTATTTCTCAACGAAATCCCCTCAACCAGGTAACCAGCAAATGACACTAAATGAATTACTCAAGCCAATTCCTCCCAAGAATATCTTCAGCAACAACTATTTTAAATAACAGAAACAGCACCAAAGACCAACTGGGTGGCCCATGTACCTGTGTACTGTATGTGCTGCAGTGCTGTATAATCCTCTGCATTTCCTCATGGACCAATTCAACACATCTTAAGCTGGGCTCCTCCAGGCGTTTGATCTGTCGTTTCACTAACAACTCAAAAGAGATTTCAGGAACAAAAAGTGCTGGACGTGGACCCTAAACAAAACAGATTTGGTGACAATTCATTCTTCCAAAGATTTTTTAAAAATCTTTAAACAAAAAAAGATGAGCAGGCCAGATCAGTAAAGACACACAATGTGGAAATGTGCAATTAAAATCATGGGGATTTTGTCCAATTATCAATGACATGTTTTGTATTATTAATAATGAATAGAGAAAATGCCGTTGCCACAAAAGCAGGTAAACATATAAACATATATGTGCAAGGATGAATAAAAGCAAAGTACACTTTGCAAAGCTGGGCTAGTGAAAAGCAATTGTAATGGAATGACAACACGTTCCTTGTGATGCTGAATACTCACAGTGGCATTTCTAATAGCAGTGAGAATGTCAATAGTGTTGAGACCACCCAATGCATCTACAGATTCTAAAGTACGTCCGAATGTTTCATGAAAAATGTAGCATATTCTTGCTCCGCCGCAACTACAAAGAAAATGAAAACACATTACACAGAAATTGTTTTCGGTTCAATGTACGTGCAATTAGCAGCACCCATTTCCAGATTCCTCAAGTAGCACATTTGTGTCATACTGGCATCTAATCAGTTCAAATTATATATTCACTAAAATAAAATGCAACAAACAGCGACAGAACTAGATAAAATTCACTAATTAACACAATGACAGAAATGCAAAATAGCATTCAACAATTTCAAAAATACTTTTCTTGGATTCTCCATTAAGCTGGTGTTTCTGAAAATAAATTCCGTAACCATATACATAACATGCTGAATACATCTAATTTGGGTCCAATAGACACAAACAAAAGGGAAATGGCTGCATACAATACTTGAACAGCACCTTTCAAGGCCGTGCAGGTTTTGTTTGTGCCAAAATTATGTAATATAAAGGAGAATATCACAACTTAATTTCCTCCAGCTATGAGTTAACTTATTTCTCTTGCATTTGGAAACCAGAGATTTGGAGGTCAGTGTGATTTGGTTTAACCAAAGCCTGATGCAAACAATATTTTACTGAGGGTGGGTAAATGAGAGCACCTTCCCATTCTGTAGCAGGACTTTTATGTCTCTAAACGTTGTAAGCAATTGGTTCACTTTTCTATATTACTACAAATTAATGTTGACAGCTGCAGCCCTTTAAGGAGTCAGTGCATGTCATATTTTACACTTAACAGAGAGAGCTGCCATGAATTAAACATTTGGGAATGGTTTTAATTCTCTCGTAGACCACCCATATTAACAGGAAGGGCCTCATTACAATGTTCTGGCCCACCAATGAGGTCATCAGGCATCGTATATTTTTGTCATCCTAGAAAAAAAGAGCCATGAAGTTTATATATTATTTTTTAATCAGATAACATTTGCATCATTTTGTATAAAATACTTTGCAAAGTTAAATGTTAATAAGCGATAGTTGAAACATATAGGTCAACAAAATATAAGCATGCTTACAGTTCTGAAGTTTCAATGTATTTTGCTGTTCCCTCAATTGTGTGGCAATACTCGGCCGCAAACTTGGTGATGAGCTGCAGCAATGTTGCACTTTTGTCCCCCACTGGTTCACCATAGCTATTCAGTAAAGACTGATACTGAGCAGCCAGGACATTTATCCTGGTCTTAAGTTCTGGCAAGCAATCTCGGATATGGTGCATTAGCAATCTACAAAAAAAAATAAACCATTTTAATAAAATCCCAGGACTAATGCTTTAGAGAAAACAAAATTACATGGATATTAAAACAAACAGATATGTTACACATAGCTCATTTAATTACAACTCTCAATTCCCGCTGTATTTGTGCCTGATTTTACAGGTAGAACATCTAATTGTTATGCATATCTGGCACAGGCAACTCCAAATCCTTTCAGAAATCTTGATGTACATAAAGACCACCAACAACGTTTTTAAGAAAACTAGCTAAGCTGTAGTAAGTAACGGTAACTTTATGGAAATAGCAAGGAAATATAGCAATTATGATGGCCGAGACATTGCCACGGAATTTAACAAAATCCACTGAGGGCTGCAGTGACTAGGCAAAGCAGCGATCTCTAGAACTTGACATTCACAGAAATAAACTTTGCACTTTATTTCCTTCAGCAAGTTATAGGAGTTTAACAAAATATTACCTATTCAAAGTTTTGGCCAAATACTTAGTTCCATTTCTGTTAGCAAGAGAAGGGTATTTCTTTTGGAGAAAAGCGTGCTCATCTTTTAAAGCATCTGCCACAGTTTTCTTATTGTTGATGTCTAGCTGACTCCTGAGGGATAAACACAAATATGTTTGAAATTGGAATAAGCAATCAATCCCCAAAGAAACTGCTGAGTAAACAAAATGGTGCATTTTCATTAATGTCAACATATTCCAGTAAAAATGCAACTCTTCTATGCAGTTTCACTTATCTCAAAACAATAGTAAGCATGCACTATCATTTCTCCACAGCTCCAACACCTTTAAGATCTTGATCTCAACAAGATTGCAAGGATATGGGGAAGAAACATTGTGACTTCCTTTCTAACTTCAGTGAAAACAATGTTTTCAGCAAAGCAATGGAACAGGAAATAAACTTTCCAGATGAGAAACAGATAAGACAACCTCAGCCTAGGCTTTCCAAGTGAAGTAATTACAATAAATTAGCAGGCCCAGGATGATTCTTTTGTTGTTCCATACCCGCAAGGATGTAGAAATGTAACTAACATGAGAAATTCAGCATACGTCTTTCACAACTGAAACGGAATCTTATTATTCCATGGCATACCAAGCACCTAAGTACGTCATGTCTTCCCACCCTCAATTAAAAGTAATTCCTTCCTTACTGATTACTATGGAGACTTTTTATGATTGAGAGATCAGACAAATGACCTACTTCATTGCCCCTATCAATATTGCTGAGAGTTTTGACTATAATCTGGAGTGACTAGTTTTAGACTTTCCCTTTGATTTCTGAGAAGGAAATTGTCGTCTGTGTGGGCCTGCTCCTCTAAAATTTCTCATTGTAAAAATAATTTGTCATCATCCTTTGTACCTACCTGAGCTATTATTGTTCAATTACTATGAATTTCCAAGAGATTAAAAATTATATATATACCTTCATCATTCAGAAGTTTATAATGTTCACTAAGCAGATAGATAGTTAGATAACTTGTTTTCTTTAGACAGGCAAAAATATGATTGGTCTCGATCTGGGAACACCTCAATCAGTGACAAAGTAAAAAGTACCATCTGTAAAAGTGGCAATTAATTATATGGGCTGCTATTTTGTCACTATACTACATGCAGATTTTTAGTATCGTTCAAGTGGAATATCATTTTAATTTATATTGTAAAATGTAGTAGTTTGACTAAAAGTAGATATTTAGGTAGCTAGTAATGCTTCAATGAGACTGCTGTTTTGAAGTTAAAATTCACTAATAACTGGAAATTGCTGCATACCTGCTGACAATTCCAATGATACCCAATTTAACTGGAATAACTCTTCCCATAAGCACGTCCATAGCATCAGTGCCAGCATCCATAAGATCCAGTTTTGTGATAACAGCAAGCGTTCGCCGTCCTGTATTCAGATGGATTAAGGCAATGCAACTGAAAGTATTTCAACGCAGTGTAAAACACATACCAATGAAAAATTCATATTTTCCTTCTCCCGGACTGCTCCCTCACAGGTTTTCTTCCTCACGTCTCATAACAGCATACATTATACTTCTAGGATATTTCTGAAGAGACATGTTAGCAGATGATGTAGAGCAATCTCCTTTGCCAAGAAGCCTATCTAGAACTGGTGAAAATGGCCCCTCTGATTGAGAGGCCAGGAAGCTAACCTGTATTACTCAAGCTTAGAGATTTCATTATAATCCTGTCACGGGAAGCCCAAGAATGATCTGACAATAGATCTGATGCTGTAACTGCAAGTCTATCGTCTAGAGATGCAGTTATTTAACAATCTCCTCTACCATCTTACCTTCTGGATCTGCCTCCCTGGCAATTTTAAGTGACTCTGAGGTTGCCATGTCAGTATTGGCAGCAGTGACAGATAAGATGATTGAGTTTGGGTTGCTGATGTATCGTAGTATCAGGTCTTTTATCTGCACTTCTATGTCTCGGGGTTGGTCACCCACAGGTACCTGAAGAGATAGTGTTATACTGAGTATTATCAAAAAAAAAATGTATTTCCAGAAATTAACTACTAATTCCTTTTCAACAAAACACCTATCGATGGATTGAGTTCCAGTTGAAGGACTTATGCAGTTTAAATTTATCTTTGAAATATAACTTTGGAAAAATGTTTTCTTTTCACAGAAGAGGTTTTCTTTTGCAGAGGATTTTAGTTTCTAAATCTAAGTTTGGTAAATTCAAATGGCGAAACCGTAATTATTAACAAGGTCCAGGACCACATGCTTTTATAAGTGTCATGGAGTATGGAGAAAGGGTAAGAGTACAGCACTGAGATAGAGGAAGAGGAAGAGCCATGATCATGTTGAATGGTGGAATGAGCTCAAGTGGGGTGAACACCTACTCCTGATTCTATTTTCTATGTTTCTACAAAATCGAGAATTAATAGACCAATAACAAAGTGTGCACATAATCAACAACATACTGGTTTTCCAAGAACTATTTCACTGACACCAATATTTTGAATACTAAATTCTGAATTAGAAGTTATATTGTCTTAGAAAATAAAACTAATCGTAAGTACCCTCCCATAATTCCCATCGGTATTGCTGTGGATTTAAAATCATCAAGCTGGAAGCAAAATGTGACAAAACAGCAATGCTCTGCATAAAGCAAGTTAATGCACCACAAAGCGTACTGGCATAATGCAATTCTTGGTTTTGTAACTGAGGTTCTCCACAGATTTGACTTCCCAGTTCTTCCTGAGATATTAGTGGTGTACCAGAGTATAGGGTTTGTCTCTCCCCAAAAGGAGAAGCAGAAAAAAATTAAAACAAATTAAATAATTCAGAACACCAGACTACAAATTTTCTCTGCTGGGCCATGATCAATATTATGGTTCAGAAACAAATCACCTCTTTGTTCCCTCAGCAGGAGAAGTAATGCATAAAATATGGGATTCAGAGTAGAAATTATTTTTAAAAATGGTGTTTTAAAGCTTTGAAAATTGTATTCTTCTGGAAGCACTGATAACTGTAATATATATTTTGTTCCAAGTAATCTAAATTCTAGGCTTGAACTATGAACCTACAAACACAAGGTCAATACTTGATGCAGTGTGTCTTGAACTAGGAAAAGCATTGCCAAACATATAAATATAACAGTGGCTACCCATAGCCAGATGAGGAAAAAAGATTAAACTAATAAAGTTACCAAATATATAAAGTTTAATTAGAATATATATTCCCTATAGAGGTATATAATATATTCAAATTAATATCAAATTTCTAAACTTCTCTTGGTTTTTAATTCATCGGATGTGGACATCGCTGGCTGCGCCAGCATTTATTGACCATGCCTAATTGCCCCTTGATCCAAGTGACTCACTAGGGCTATTTCAAAGCGCAGTTAACAGTCAAGCACATTGCTGTGGGTCCAGAATTACATGTAGATCAGACCAGGTAAGGATGACAGATTTCCTTCCCTAAAATCACATCAGCAAATAGATTTTCTTGTGACAATTGGCAGCGGTCTCGATTAAGATAGCTTTCAGTTCCAGACTGTTTTTCTAAACTGATTTTTGTGAACATATTACACAGTTATAGCCACAATACAGAAATAACTGTTTTGCATCAAGATAATGAGGATGACAACAAGGTAAGGTTTGTTGTGCTGAAAATAAGTTGGTTACTTACACTACTTTCTTTTCTGGAACATTTCAGCAATGTATTGTTGTGATACCAGTGGCAATTTTTTTTACTATTCTGCCTCTTATCCATTTTGTGTAGTTTATAAATGCAACAGTGTGGCAGTGAAGGAGCAAATTATTGCAGATGCTGGAATCTGAACTGAAAACAAAAAGGTGCTGGAGATCACAGCAGGTCAGGCAGCATCCATGGACAGAGAGCAAGCTAACGTTTCGAGTCTAGATGACTCTTCCTCAGAGCTGAAGTGAAGTGTGAAGGTGGCAGCATTTATGCAATAGTTGGGGGGGTGGTCATTGAAGTACTGGGGGAGAAAGGATGTTGATTGGGATTAATCTGACCTATCAACATCCTTTCTTCCCCAACACTCCAATACACACCCCTGCCCAAACCATTGCATAAATGCTGCCACCTCCACGCTTCAGCTCTGATGAAGAGTCATCCAGATTCGAAATATTAGCTTGCTCTCTCTCCATGGATGCTGCCTGACTTGCTGAGTTGTCCACCATTTTTTGTTTTCAGTGTAGCAGTAAACTAGACTGAGCAGAATAATCAGGGAAAATTGCTGATTTAAGTTCAGTTAACTGACTTCAAAAAAATATAGTGCCACTGATGGTTTTGATTTGCTTTTATATTTAGGGCAGCGAGAGAGAAAGAGGGAATCACCCTGCGTACTATTCCTGATAACTGTTCCATAACAGAGAGTCATATAGCATGGAAACATGCCCTTTGGTCCAACTTGTTAATGCCAGCCAAGTTTCCTAAACTAAGCTAGGCCCATTTGCCTCCGTTTGGCCAACATTCCTCTAAACCTTTCCTATTCCTGTACCTGTCCAAATGTCTTTAAATATTGTAACTGTAGCTGCATTTACTATTTCCTCTAGCAGTTCATTCCACATACAAACCACCCTCTGTGTGAAAAGGTTGTCCCTCAGGCCCCTTTTAAATCTTTCTCCTCTCACCTTAATGTGCTCCCTAGTTTTGAACTCCCTTACCCTAGGGAAGTGAAACCTGCCATTCTATGCACCTCATGATTTTATAAAAACCTATGAGGTCACCTCTCAAACTCCTACATTCCAGTGAAAAAAGTCCTAGTCTATCCAGCCTCTCTTTTTAACTCAAACCCTCCAGTCCTGGCAACATCCTTGTAAATCTCTTCTGAACCCTCTCCAATTTAATAATATCCTTGCTTTGGCAGGACAACCAGAACTGTACACAGTACTCCGAAAGTGGCCTTATCAACATCCTGTACAACCTCAACATGATGTCCCAACTCCTATACGCAATGGTCTGAGCAATGAAGGCAAGCATGTTAAACACCTTAACCACCTTGTCTACTGTGACACAACTGTCAAAGAACTATGTACCTGAACCCCTAGGTCTCTCTGTTCTACAACACTATCCAGGACCCTACCATTAACTGTACCAATCTCGTCCTTGTTTGTCTTACCAAAATGCAATACCTTGTATTTATCCAAATTAAACTCCATCTGCCACTCTTTAGCCCATTAGCCCAAAAGATCAAGATAACTTTGTAATTTTAGATAGCCTCTTTCACAGTCAAACAAATGTGAAACTGGATTCTGTAAAATAATTGCCTCAGTTGAATAGCTTGTCAGCACCCAAACTTTTCTAACAAAAATGGTCACTTGGGCAAGTTGTTTCTATCCATAGAACTACATATTTTTAAATCAACCTATACTAATACAGGTCTGGAGCAGGTGGGGCTTGAATCCAGCCCACTGGCTCAGAGATAGGGACATTACCTTCATGCCACAAAAGTCCCCTTATCCCTAGAACTATAAGCTTGCATGTTTACTGATTTTTGTGCTGGAAGGAAGAAAGCTGGGAAAACAGGTACAAAAAAAAAAGTGAAATGAAATAGGACAGAAATTGCTAATGCAGGATTGGATGCAATTCATGCTACCTTTTGCAGTAATTATTGGATCAGTTGAGCATGGTACCTTGATGAATGTTAATTAAATATGAACAGCAAATTCCAATAGCTCTGGATGACAAGTGAGGGTTGAAACATACTTTACCTTTGTCATTCCGGGAAGATCGACAAGTGTCAGATTAACCACATGTGGTGAGAAGATCCTGAGGTGAATTGGTTCAACACTAATACCCTGCAACAGTAAAAAAGGGTATAAATGAAATAGGAATAACTGTATTAAATATAGGCTTTGGAAACCATGACTTCACCAAGTTTTAAGAGTAGCTTTGGAGGATATTTTTGCCACTTTCACAATGTTTTAATTTCATTCTGCCTTTCTGGACCAAAGTGTTTAGTTTGCTGTGCATTTCCAGTTTTGAGACTGCCTACACAAAATATAGAGATAGTAAGAACTGCTGAAGCTGGAGTCAGAGATAACACAGTGTGGAACTGGAGGAACAATGCAGCAAGCCAGGCAGCATCAGAGGAGTAGGAAAGTTGACATTTCGGGTCAGAAATGTCATTTCGGGTTGACATTTCAGAAATGGGCCATTTCTGCAGAAGGATCCCGACCCGAAATGTCAACTTTCCTACTCCTCTGATGCTGCCTGGCCTGCTGTGTTCCTCCAGTTCCACACTATGTTGTATCTACACAAAATATATTTCATTTTGAAACAGCAGTGTTCAAAATTCATTTAGGACATCAATGAGAGTATATAAATAGCCCTTAAATGCCCAAATATTTTCCTAGAATTTCAACAGATCAACTCAACTGGCCACAGCAAATCACCATCAGTACTCTTTGTCAAAGAGAAAATTCTTGCATCATGAAAACAGTCTTTACTCTATGCATTAAAATGACAGTTTCAAAGTAATTCCTTTTCTCTACAGTCCCCAAATTCCTAAATGATTATTTGGCAGGAATCACTGATATACCACGGAGGCCAGACTCAGTGGATTGCATATGACAATCAATTCTTTTTCTCTTTTTCATGGAATGTGAGCATCACTGGTAGGGCAAGCATTTGCTGCCCGTCCCTAATTGTCCGTCTTCCCAGTGGCTTAATATGCCTATTGAGGGCCATTAAGAGTCAAAAACCACATTACAGTGGTTTCATGTATAATCCAGATCTTGCAAGAATGGCAGCTTTGCTTCTCTGAAGGGCATTAGAATAAATTCTCTAGGCATTATCAGATATATAAAATAAAATAACTCTAAGGATATTGATAGTGCCTTTTCATTCAAAATCCAAACTCTAAGTATCATCTTAATACTTAAGAGTAATTTCACACCATGGTAAGATACGAAATGTATTATGTAGCTCACACAATATGTTTTTTTGAATTTTCTTCACAACCATCGGTCTCTCTCTTCTCTCTCACTTTTGGGGTTGTAAAACTCAAGTCAGCAAATACCTTAGCAATTGCCTCCCCGGGTGGCTTACTATCTATTTAGCTAAAATCAAATGATTTCATAGAAACGCTGTTCTGAACTCATTGTTCAAAATTCCTTGCTGTGACCTTTAAAAGAATGACAAATCAGACCTTCACAAAAATGAAAACCAAAATCCATTTTTTCTCCCCTTTAGAAATCAAATTACAATTACAAATAATGAATCTTCATCATACTTGTTGCTAATTTCTTCTTACTTACAGAATTGTTAAGTTTTGCGACATCTCCATGACGTGAAATTATCCAGGCCATCCATGTTTTAAGGGCACGATATCAGAGTAAGGAAAGACCCATTCAACACGGAGATGAGGAGGACAGTTTTCCTCAGAGGGTGCTGATTCTGTGGAATTCTCTAACACAGGCGGCTGTCGAGGCTGGATTGTTAAGTAAATTCACGGCTGAGATAGATTTCTAATCATTAAGGGAATCAAGGGTTATGGAGATTATCCTCAATTCCACATTCCTGCTTTATCAGATCAACCGTGATCATGTTGAATTTTGGAGAAGAGTTGATGGGCTGAATGGCCTACATTTGCTCTAACGGTCTTATGGTCAATTATTCTCTTCGTGAGTACTCAAATACTACTAAAAACTGGAGGCCCATGTGAACATCACATACTAAACATTTATTAATCAATGTAAGTGACACACATGTAAAAAGAATCAACTGTTCAGTTATCTGCTTTAAGTTTATGGAGTTTGCGCCACAACCCAATTGATTTTTATCTTTACCTTATTGCCACCGGAAACTCTTTCTGTCTCATTTTCTATTTCTTGCCTAATTTCATCAAAGTCAGTGTAGATCTGTAAAGGGATAATTATTAAAATAGTTAAGGCATTGACATTGTAATGGATTGGTTTCTTCCTCACCCCATTCAAAAAAGCAAGAAATCAACCGCCATAAATAAACATTATGTTATATTAAACAAGGCTTCATCAGTTCATTTAATGAAGGAAATGATTGAAGTTAATGTCTTTCATATAAAAAAAGTGACAGGCACAGTAGATCAATGTGGTATCTAAACTATGCAGTCAGGGATCCTAGGCTCTTTCATTAGGTTATTAGGAATTGTTCTCAGCTGAGAGTGTGCATTTATGGACATCAGAACAAAAACAGAAAATGCAGGAGGTAGTGAGTAAGTCTGACAGATGAAAAGAGTTAATGATTCAGATGTTAACTTTCAACAGAACTGATGTACTTGAAATGTCAACTCTGATTTTCTCTCCACCTGCTGAGTATTTCCAGCATTTTCAATTTTCATTTGATTTCCAGCATGTGCAAAATATTATTTTTGTATTAGTAAGAGTTGAGAAACGAATCAGCCATAATTATCGTTTGAGACTATTATTCAGTCATCTCTAGTTCAAATAAGTACATGTAAATATCAAGAGAACATGAGACATGCTCAGAGGTAATGTTTCCCTACTTTCGTTTTCCCCAGCCAACTCACCGAATACCTTGCAGTCATTTATTAATTATATCATAGATGAGGGGAGACTGGACAAGTCAAACCTTCAGTAAACTGACAGAAAGGAAAGTAGGGAAATGGTCAGTGAGGATAGCCAAAATAATTTAACCGCATGATTCAATCCAGGTTCTGCTGCAATTATAGTGGTGGCCTCCAGAATTTCAATGAGTACAGTTTTCTTTTTGATACACGTGAGACACGGGTGTCGCTGGCTCGGCTCGCATTTATAGTTCACCCTTAGTAGCCCTTAAGAAGGTGGTGCTCATCTGCCTTCTTGAACCACTACAGTCCAAATGATATTGGTAGACCCACAACGCCATTAGAAAAGAATGCCAGGATTTTGACTCAATGACTCAGAAGGAATAGCGATAAATTTTCAAGTCAGGATGCTGGTGTGTCTTGGAAAGGAATTTGCAGATGGCAGTGCTCCCGCCATCTGCTGCCCTGGTCTTTTCAGGCGGTAGCGGTTGCAGATTTGGAAGGCGCTGTCTAAGGAGACTTGGTGAATTTCTGCAGTGCATTTTGTAGATGTATGCACTATTGCTCCTGAGCATCAGTGGTGGAGGGAATGGATGTGGTGACAATCATTGGGCTGCTTTGTCCTGGATGGTGTCAAGTTTCTTGACTGCTGTTGAAGCTGCACTTATTCGTGAAGTGGGGAGTATACCATTACACTGCTAACTTGTGCTTTGTAGTTGGTGAACAGACTTTGAGTAAGGAAGTGAGTTACTCACTAAGTAATTCCCAGCCTCTGACCTGCTCCTGTAGCCACTGTAATTATATCATAGAATTATAGAATCCCTACAGTGTGGAAACAGGCCCTTCGGCCCAACAGGTCCACACTGCCCCTCCGAAGAGCATCCCACCCTGACCCATTCCCCATGTCTAACCCACCTAACCTAAACATCCCTGGACACTATGGACAATTTAGCATGGCCAGTCCTCCTAGCCTGCACATCTTTGGACTGTGAGAAGAAACTGGAGCACCCGGAGGAAACCCACGCACACATAGGGAGAATGTGAAAACTCCACACAGGCAGTTGCCCAAGGCTGGAACTGAACCCAGGTCCCTGGCACCGTGAGGCAGCAGTGCTAACCATTGAGCCACTGTGCCACTCACAAATATAGATAGCCCAGTTCAGTTACTGGTCAATGGTAACCACCAGGACGTTAAGTGATAGAACACCATTGGATAAAGATGATGGTTCAACTCTCTCTTGCTGGAGATGATCATTACCTGGCACTGGTACAGAATGACTATTACTTACCACTTGTCAGCCTAAACCTGGACATTGTCCAGGTCTTGCTGCATTTGGACACGGACTGCTTCAGTATGTGAGAATCACAAATGGTGTTGGACATTGAACAATCATCAAAATCCCCACTTCTTATTTCATGATGGAGAGAAGGTTATTGATGAAGCAGCTGAAGATGGTTGAATCTAGGACCCGAGGAACTCCTGCCTGGATATTCTAGAGGTGAGATGACTGACCAACAACTATAACCATCTTCCTTCATGCCTGACATGACTCCAACCATCAGAGAGTTTTCCCCTGATTCCCACTGACTCTAGTTTGCTTAGGGCTCCTTAATGACATATATAAATAAATAATGCCTTGTGTAAAGGACAATCACTCCCACATATGGAACTCAGCTCTTTTGTCCATGTTTGAATCAAGGCTGTAATGAGGTCAGAAGCAGTTTGATAGCACTGCTGGTGACAACTTCCATCACTTTACACAGATCAATAGGACAGTAACTGGTTGGATTGGATTTGTCCTGCTCTTTGTGTACAGGACATACCTGGCTAATTGTCCACACTGTTGGGTAGATACCAGTGCTGTAGCTGTACTGGAATAGTCTGACGAGGGCTGCTACAAGCTCTGGAACATAACAGCAGTAATACTGCCGGAATGTTGACAGGACACATAGCCTTTTTATTATCCAATGCCCTCAACCATTTGATATCACATGGAATGAATTGAATTGGTTGAAGACTGGCATCTGTGAAGCTGAGGACCTCTGGAGGACATGATGTGGAGATGCCACTGTTTGATTGGGGTGGACAAAGTCAGAAGTCACACGACAACAGGTTAGAGTCCAACTGGTTTATTTGAAAATCACATGCTTTCAGAGTGCAGCCCCTTTGTCAGGTGCAGCGAGAGAGAAGAGCACACAGACACAGAGTTTATAGACAGAGAGATCAAAAGATCATACAACTGGTGTGAGTGGAGTGTCAGATAATAAGTCTCTGCAGGTGACCAAGAGTGTTAGACGGTCAGTAAAGTGTCAACAGCTGAATAACCAGCGATGGGATGACCTATAAACCGATTAAGTGAAGCAGGGAGATAATTATGAAAAAATAAAAATAATATGGGTGCTGGAGACAAACTAAATGACTTGAATAACGTGATAGGTTTAAGAATTGCATGCTGAGGGTCTAACCAAAGTAATTCAAAACTGCACAAACCAAATAAGTTAGAGAGATTATAACAATTTATCAAGGTGATGCTATCAAAACAGGACAGTAAGGAAGATTTTACAGATACAGAACAGTGTGGTGGGGGCCACATATTCCTCCTTACTGTCCTGTTTTGACAGCATCATCTTGATAAATTGTTATGATCGCTCTACCTTAACTAGTTTTTAACAGTTTTGAATTACTTATTGCTTTGGTTAGATACTCGGCATGCAACTCTTAAACCTATCACGTTATTCCAGTCATTTAGTTTGTCTCCAGCACCACCTTATTTTTAATGTTTTATAATTATCTCTCTGCCTCACTTAATCAGATTATAGGTCATCCCTTCGCTGGTTATTCGGCTGTTGACACTTTACTGACTGTCCAACACTCTTGGTTACCTGCAGAGACTTATTATCTGATACTCCACTCACACCAATTGTTATGATCTTTTGATCATTCTGTAGGTATTCTTCTCTCT